ACACATTGAGGTACAGACACTCCCATAGCTGGGATATCTCAGATTGGTTTCTAACCTCTGAATATCAAGTTGTCAAATGTCATGTTTCCAAAGCCAGTGCTGCCCATGCGCTGCCTTCTTTGTGAACCAGAGAGGTGAGTCTTCGGGGGGCAGTGGCAGCCCTGCAGGGGACACAGGGCTGAGGGAGCAGACTGCAGGCTGGCTCACAGCCCCAGCTATCCCTCAGATGGAGGCCCTCCTGCGAGTGAAGTTACACAACCAAGGCAGGGTCCACCTCCTTCCCTCCCTCTCATCCAGCCCCAGCCCCTGCAGGGCTGAACCGATCCCACCTGCAACGCTGGCCTTCCTCCTGAATCAGGTTCTGTCTATGGACCTTGGGCTGACTCAGCACCACAGCGTTCCAGGTCTCAGAACTGGGCTCCTGACCATGGTCTCAGGTTAGCTCCCTCGCTATTTTAACCAGGTTTGACCAGTTACCATCTCTGAATCTTCAACTCTACGCAGGATTGGGTGCTGTTAACCACGGGTGAATCTCTTGCTGATGCCAGCCTTCCTGCCTGAAGGAACTACTGCCCTGCCCTGGATCCTGTGATGCCAAGGTACCTGTTTAGAAATCCTTATATTCATCTCACAACTAGACTACCTGGACTGCAGACCTCTTTTGCCATGAACCTTAGGCATGTGCTTTGTCTCCCAGAACAAGCCTACTCGCTACAGAGGCATCTGCTGGAGACCCCGTTGCTGAGCTACTTCTGGGAACTAGAAGTAGCCCACATGCCCCTCTGGGACCCATCAGTCCAGGTTCTGCACAGACTCAGACCTACCTCCTGGGCCCTCTTTACCTTCATGGAGAGTAACAACTGATACTCAGAGGGGTGACCTGAGGCACTGCAGATTTCATCAGAAACAAATAAAAATGAAAAAAAAAAGAAACAAATAAAAATGTTGCTTTAGTTCATGTCTTACTTATTAGTGCAGAAAGTAGAAGGAATACTGTTAGAAAGAATATCAACCACAAAGGTTGAAATAGCTTTGATAAAATGCTCACTTAGAAAAGCACGGTCATGGAATTATAAGCACAAGAAGCCGAGGGCTGGGCTCTTTACTGTAACCACACCAAATCTAGGGCCCGAGGCCGAAACAGGTGCTCAGGTAATATCAATACTTGCTGAGTGAATGAATGAACTTAACTCAGTCTAAACACAGCATTTGCTCATGCAAGTTCTCATTAGTTTATGTCGTCACTCTTTCATCACACATACTGTTAGTCATGTACTGTTTTTTAGTCATTTTGAAGTTTATAATCTTAATACATTAGAAGATAATAAAAATAAACACACAATAAACATAATAAACATTCAGGTCACAGTGGTCAATGTTGTGGGTCTTACTAGGAAATATGAGTGAAACATATGTGCCTGCATATGAAATCCTGGCCAGATGGTAATGCATAGATAGAAATATAGTTTACTTTTGGCAATGATAAAGGGTCTTTCTATGACTTGGATACACATGGGACTAAACATAATAATGCTTTATATTGTCAGAATACTTGACAATTTACAAAATGCTCAAACATATGAAATCATATTTGTTGTTCAAAAGAAGAAAGAGGAATATAGTTGAAAAAAATTATAGGAATCCTCTAAGAAAATATCTAGTGGCTTATGAAATACAACAGCTATCAAAGAGATTTCTGCTTTATGCTTAACAGTAATGATTCAACTGATAGCAGAGGAAGAGGGAGGAAAGGTACTCTCTATAATAAAGAAAAATGGAAAGGAAAGAGGCCATAACGACAACTCCCATTTACTGCGATGAAGACAGACTTCTATTATTCAGCCTGGGACAGTCTTACAATACAGTTCTAAGAGGTAAGTAATGAAACGCTGAAGTGAGTAATGAGACTCAGGCTCTGGACGTCTCGTTTCAGCTCACCGAGGAGGAATCATGACCACGCCTACCATTTCCATTGCACTGTATTCATCGTAGTGCACGTCAAAGCAGCTCTAACTCTGGTAACCCAGAGCAACCATTGGGAAGAATTCAAGAGACAAACTGGGGTGCACATTCCGAGTGAGTTCTCAGCCAGCCCAGTGTCCTTTCTTGCAACCAATCAAATTTTACCTATTTTTGTTGTTGTTCATAATTCAATGTAAAGTCTGGGAGCTCTTTTCTTCTACACACACACTTAGTCAATAATCTGGAAAGATCTCTGCACTCTATTTTTGATAACTATTTTGTACCAAGCAGCAGGGAGAAGAATGACCAATTGTGAGTAACTCTTGTCAGATTTTAAAAATAATTCAGCCTTATCATTTAAGTAGAGAGAAACTGGAGCTACAAAAAGTGTTCAAAAAATAGGTGGAAGAAAAGTCCATCAGTGTTTGGAATGAACTAGACTGAGGACTACTCAAATTCTGCCAGGCTGGCGTGGCTCAGTGGTTGAGCATCGACCTATGAACAGAAGGTCATGGAGGGTCGTGCAGGAGAGAATGATGATTCTCTCTCATCATTGATGTTTCTCTCTCTCTCTCTCTCTCCCTCTCCCTTCCTCTCTCAAATCAACAAAAATATTTTTTTAAAATTACAGGAACTTGAACTAGCAGATTTCTAGCTGTCAAAATTGAAAGAAAATCTGCAGAGGCCAAAATCTATACTAATAAAAGAGTAATATGCTAATTAGACCAGGTAGACCAGATGTCTTCCAGACATCCTTCCATATAAAGCCACATTGGTGGGGGCTGAGGCAGAGGCAATCAGGCAGAGAGGTTAGGGGCAATCAGGCAGGAAGGCAGGTGAGCGGTTATGAGCCAGCAGGATGGGGCCTAAACTGGCAGTCAGACATCCCTTGAGGGGTCCTAGATTGGAGAGGGTGCAGGCTGGGCTGAGGGACCCCTGACCCCTGTGCACAAATTTTGTGCACCGGGCCTCTAGTGTTGGAAATAAGAATGTAGTCAGACACATTGCTGGTGTGAACTTCAGTTGACTAAAAACACCAAAATAGCCCCATGGTCTGTCTGAGAGAAACTTGCTTTCCCAGCAGCCCCTTTGGCTTACAAGAAATTTCTATTACATTTCCCTAACAGGGGATCATGCTTCCACTGAAATGACAGTCCTGCTCAAATTGCAAGGAGCACCGAATTTCCACACTTTCTGATCACTGCTTTCCACACTTGGAAATGCTTGTGCTACTGTTTTAGAACCAGCGGCCCTGTTTTGCAGAGTCTGTGCTCTACTTGTTTCCAAGTCACCTGTTTCCAAGTCACCTGTTTGGAGCTTGTAGCGTGCATTGCTATTGAAACCAGTCTCCATGGGACTGGGGGCTCCTAAAGCAGGCCAGATCGTCACATGCACCTGATGTACCTACTGTGTGCACTGTAGAAATATGGGACATTGGGTAATGCCTTTAAAATACCTTTTCTTTAATCATCCTAATGTGGGATGTCTGGGATGTGGTTCTAATCTCAGGGCCAGGAACTCTACATCTTTGTGCCTTGCAGGTTTACCAGGCCCTCAGCACCAGGGACACGGCAAGTGTCAGGAAAGGGGTTGGAAGCTCCCGGAAGCATGCCCCATCCAAGGAGCTCTCAGCCCCTCCTGCTCAGGGTTGGCACCTGAGGAGGATCTTCACAATGCAGATTGCTCACCTGAGGTGGAGATTACCCACTGTTTTGCTCTAATTGCCTCCTCCGCCCTCTGTATTCCGGGAAAGGAGGAAGGAGTAAAATTGTCCTTTACGTTGGGAAGTTAGAAGGAAGGTAGAAATTTGTGGGCTGCATCCTCGAGAATAAAAGCAGGGTTTGTAGTTACTGTCTCAAAATAGAGACAGGCTGTAGAGTACAGGATGCCGCACTCTCCCTGGATTTAAAGATGTGATCATCGCTCTTGTGTTCCTTTCAGTAAATAGCAGTACAATCCTTAAAATAAAAAGTTCCTGTGCCTTCTGGGCAGACCGCAGAGACAGGGTGAGTGGAGGAGGCTGCACATTTCCTCTCTGCGCGTTCCAGTGGGTTCTAAGAGGCGTGCCCTGTAAGAATGCCTCAGAGAGAGGACATCTCACTGGGCCCAGCGGCCTGGGCCTAACTACCGTGTTTCCCCGAAAATAAGACATCCTCTGAAAATAAGACCTAGCGCAACTAATTAATATAAGACACTGTCTTATTTTCGGGGAAACAGGGTAGCAACTCATTAGACAGGGAAGTTCTCAGGCCCCACCCTAACCCAGCTGACTCCAAAATTCCGGGAGTGAGGCCCCACCATCTCTGCCAGATTCTATGGTCAGTGAGCCCTCCAGGCGATTCCAATGGCCGAGATCTAGTGAGGACCACGGGGCAGTGGGCGAGGACGCTAACCGAGCTGCTCTTAACGCCGGGCTCTGCCGCTGTGCAGTTACGTGAGTTGGGCAGGTTAACCTCAGCAACCCTGTGAGGCAGGTACTAGCCGTTTATTTTACAGACGAGGAGCCTGAGGTACACAGACCTCAATAACCCAACCAAACTCACACGGCTGAAAAGTGGTTCAGGACCTGAGCTGGGATTGAGCTATTAATTTCATTTAATTGATGCGCAAAAAAAAAGGGGGGGGGCGCACTCATTTACTCATTCATCCAATATTTACTTAATATGCACGACTGGGTAATACCCTGAGAGCTGAGGAACGTGGAAACGAATCAAGATCTCCTTCCCCTCCCCCAGAACTTCAGGACTTTTCTCTTGGTTGGTCCCGGGCTCCGGTCCCCATCGCCCTCCTGCCTCCCTGCACCCCGGGACCGTCCCTCCGAACTTGGGGAGCCGCAGGGCGGAGGGGACCCCGGCAGGATGGCTCCGCGGACAGCTGTCACTTAACCCAGGTGCCGGCTTCGGGGGCGTCCCCGGAGGACGAGGGGAAGGCCGGCCCGGAGCCGCACCCGGCCGGCCGCGGGCGGCGGGAGGGAGGGGACCGGCATCCGGGTTGCACCGGCGCTGGCGGAACCTTCCTCCCGCCTGTCGCTTCCCCCCGGGCCCGCTGGCCGCCGGACCGGAGCGGAGGCCTCCCGCGAGCATGGAGCCTCCGGGTCCCGAGGCCGAGCCGCGGCCCCCCGGGCTGGAGGCGCCGGGACCCGCCGCCGACCGGCTTTTCCTGGTCAAAGGTGCGGGCGGGCGGGCGACGGGGCCCCCGCCGGGCCGGGCCAGGCCGGGCCGGGAGCCAGGGGCGGGGGGCAGGGCTGCTCCGGGCGCACCGCTGCCGCCGCAGCGTCTCCGGGCCCCCTTCTTTAATTCCTTTCCTTTCTCTACAATCATTGGGGTGGTGCTGGACAACAGAATTTCATATTCTCATATACATTGCTAATAGCGCACCATCTGTATGTTGCATCATGTGCTCCCCTCGCCGCTTCCCTGGGTAACGGCCACTCCGTTGTCCGTGTGTGAGTTTTCGCTTGTTCGTCTGGTTTGTTCACGGTGCATTCCGTTCTGTGCCCGCATATGAATGAAATCGTAAGGTCCTGGGCTCGTCTGCCTGACTTACGTCACTTAGCACCGGCCCTCAAGGTGGGTTTGTCCCCGCCACGGGTCCCTGCGCCCATTCTCTGCGCTGGGAAGTGTCAGAAGGGCCTCAGAGGTCAGCGGGTTTCACACCGCGGCCGTGTCCCTGCGGCCAGAGCTGCTTGACCATTGTTTCTGGGATTTCAAAAGTGATTTTGAATGTAATGTCATTAGACCTGAAACTTATGTGTCCATCTTTTTAACTTCCGGGTTCTTTCATCCTTTCTTTACTCTCTTCCCCCTCCTCCATGCCCTACCCCCAAACTCTTGGCAGGTGGGCTTTTCCTAGGGACTGTGGCTGCTGCCGGAATGCTGGCTGGATTCGTTACAACATTGTCACTGGCTAAAAAGAGAAGCCCTGAATGGTTCAATAAGGTTTGTGACCCTGAAATCCATTCACAGTATTGTTACTGTTCAGAAGTAAATGGCAGCCCTTTTGCATGGGGAAAAATAAAGAAAATGTCAGTGACCGCTCATAATGCTTTTAGAAGTAAACCTGTGTACACCTCATAGCTTCAAGAAGTGCACAAATTAATCAACATTCTTTTATTCATTTAAAAGGGGTACTTAAATATGTGCTTCCTTCACTTTTTGGCAGAACAAGATTTTGAAAAGTCATCCAGTACCTTTTCTATTCACAACATGACTTTAGATCTAAATCTAAGTAATTCACTACCAATTGTGAGCGGCCCCAATGTTTTATGTGTCACTAAGAAAGAAAAAGTTATGTCAATTAAACTCTTGACATAATACCGATTGCAAGAGGCATTTCTATCTCTGAGATGTTAAAATGTTGAAATAAAGTGCATCTTAGCATTGATGGAAAACATTCAGCTGCTTGAGCTGAGAGATCATAGGAGCTGTGCACTGCTGCAGCCTCCTCTCAGAAAAGGCCTGGCGCTCATCAGGCGCTCAGTAAGTGTTGGTGAATGACTGTAACATGCTTAAGGAAGAAAACCCCTACTCCAAGGGCAAGATTGACCAATCACTATTGTGGTCATGTGTAGCTCATTCACCTAGTTGATGAGAGATTCACATTTGCTTATAGTTTCTTGTTCTTGTGTGCTGCCCTGTCTCTGCCCTCCCCTGGCTTATTTATCTAGTACTTTATTGCTTCAACACATGCAACTTGGGCCCTTTCAAGTGGCAAGCACAGTGTGACCTAGCTAAAGAGATACAAAAATGAAGAAAACATCTGCCCTTCTGGAAGAGAGAGAGAGAGAGAGAGAGAGATAGAGAGAGAGAGAGAGAGAGAGAGAGAGAGAGAGAGAGAGAGAGAGAGAGATGGGGGGGGAGGGGGGAGAGATTAAACAAATATTCACAACTTGTTTGTTTTAGAAGAACCATGTATGTAAAAAGTCATAGACCAGTTGAACTCCTTTCCACTTCTGTGCATCTGTAATAACCTAATAACCATACTTAAGTCTTATGAATAGTATAATGCATGGACCACATTAAAGTGCATCTGGATCCCCTTCTGAATGCTCAGAGCTTATATGGGACTTCCTGGATTACTCCTATGAAGCTCATGGTTGTATCTGCCTGTATGACAGAATATTTTCAGAGTGGAACTCTATCTTGTGGCAGAAATTAGTAAAGCTTAACTGATAGTGGTGCTTTCATAGTGGAGTTTGGATTGATTTCTAAGAAAAACTTATCTTACAATCCATTTCTGGGCTGATAGGGCATCTACTATTACTTTTTTAAATCTAAAAGTTTGACAAAATTAAGATTTTATTGGGAATATTACTATGCCACTAAGCATTCTTTTTATATGCAATTACCTTTTAAATTTAATTTACTAAAACAAATGTGGGCTTATGTAGACTTTTAAAAATATATGTATATAATACATATATAATTTCTGTCTTTCCCAGGAAAAGAAGGAATTTTAAGTTTCTGAATAAAATTTAGGCTATTTTTGAACCACTAATTTATCATCTATTTTTATGCCAGACTCCACTGTAATAACATTTGGTTAGTGGCACTGCTTCCAGATAAAAATTCAGGCCAGTTAGAACCTGTGCATTTATGTGGGGGCTCTAGGGAGCCAGGCTGAGATTACAGCAACATGAGAAAGGAGGGAGGTGAAAGCAGATTGTTTTTATCATAGGGAATGGTTAAAGAAAATTTGAAAATTTTGTTGGGTCTAAGCACATCCACAAAAAGTGTAAGGTAGCAAATACTGACTATCTACAGAGTGTAGGCACATACACATGCCTAGCATAAGCATAATTCCTGTGTGCTGTCAATAACACTAACAATCACAAAATACACGTGTAGAAAAACCTGTATTAAAAAATGGTGTTGAGCAATATCAAGAAAATTATTTTTAAAAAGAAAAGACAAATTAATAGAAATACATTTCCAGGTGGAGGATACGATGTTACAAATTTGCTATTGTTTACCAGATTAGCTAATTAGCTTGAAAATTAGCTAATGAAAGTTACAATGAATGAGCATTTTCTCCACTTGTTTGGGATAGGATAAAGAAATCTTAACAGAATGTTCTAGGATTTTTCTGGAAGAATTAATAGACAAAAGCAGCAATGGACTTTTTGAAAAAAGTAATGAGTATGATGTACTTTCTGAGTACATGGGCATTATTGTATTATTTAATATTTTTATTCTATAATTAAATCTGTGTGATTCTGGCATAAAAATAGATAATAAATTAGTGGTACAAAAATAGCTTAGATAAAATCCTCTCTCTCTAAGAGATTCTCTTATAAATTGGGAGGAGAAGGATTAATCAACAGAGTGGGGCAGTTGCTAAGGTTTGAGGAAGTAAACTCCCTGAGTCATCAGCTTCCATCAAAACCAAAAGAGATACCAGATGAACTTAAAAGTGGTGAAAAGAGACAATTTAAAAATAAAGCTAACAGAAAAGAGAAATGACTGTAAAGTTAGGAAGGGGAAGTTTTAGTAAGCCTCAAAGCATCAGAATGCATCTTTGACCAAAAACAAAAATACAAGGAATGAAAAACCAAACTGGGAAAATAGAATAGCACATAGGATGGGTATAAGGGCTGAAGAACATTAATATATAAAGAGAATATACAAATAAGAAAGCTTTGTGGGCAAATAAAGTGAATAACTTGGGGAAATGTTCATTCTCATAGGAATGTAAGTTATAGTTTCATATAAATTTTTTAAAAATTTCTTTTGGGGTATTTTTGTGAGTGTATGCTTTTTTTAAACATTAATTTCGGACACTCCCCAAATATTTATTCTTTGTGGACTGTTGATTTTGACCCCGGCCTTCCTTTCCTCATTGCAGGGAAGCGTGGCCAGCGCTGTGCTGCCGGAGAGCGGGTCTTCGCTGGCCTTGCGAGCCCTGGGCTGGGGCTCCCTGTGTGCGTGGTGCGGGGTCGGTGTGATCAGCTTCGCCGTCTGGAAAGCTTTGGGAGTTCACAGTGTAAGTAGCCACAGTCCCTAACTGCTGTCTGGAATGTTTATTCTACGTCCTGCAGTCCACATCTTCCCAATTCACAAATTTGTAGTTTGTCCACTGTCTTAGGAGGTGAAGAAATAGAAGGTGATTAAATTCTTACTAATGATGAGGCAACTTCTCATTACTAGTAAATGATGTAAGCAATTTAAATATCTGAGGGTGGTGAGACTTCAAATGTAATTAAGTAATGACCAATCCATAGCAAATGTTCATTCTATATAAATTGGTACTAGCTGTTTGTTCAGTGAAATTATTTAACTTGGAACAACTTTCTATGCTGTTTGACATCCTTATATATAAATATTCTCCTAAAATAGTTAAAACATTGTAAAATTATTTCAATTATTAATGCACTTATGGGAGAAAATCTGAAAAACCTCTGTTTATATATTGTGTGTGTGTAATTTAGACTCCAACCTGTGAAGCTATATATTCAGAGTGATTGTCTTACTCAACTACCAGGAAGTTCTGTGGACCACGCTGTCTGAGACAGGCGGGAATGAGAGTGGTGTGGGGCAGGTGGTCGCAGTGGAGTTGATGCAAATAGGTTCTGGATATATTTCAAAGGTAGAGTCAACATGGATTTGTTACGGATTGAGTGAGAAAGGTGAGAGAAAAAGTGAAGTCAAGGATGTCGCCAAAGTTTTTGGCCTGAGGAACTGGAAGATGGATAGGGATCAGTGTGACAGGAGCAGATGCTGTTGGGGGTTAAGTGAGGAGCTCAGTCTGGGACTTGTCAATGTGAGATGTGATAGCCAAGTAGAAAGTCAAGTAAGCAGTTAGACAAAAAGACTAGAATTCAGGGGAGATGTGCAAGGTGAAACAGAAATGTGAGACTCATCAATCTCAAATAGGAATCTTAAATGGGTGGTATCTAAAGCTACAAGACCAGATGACCTCACTACGGCAGTGAGTGTGGAGAGGTCCCCGGAAGGAACTCTTGGGCAGGAGAGGTTGGGGAATGAGGAAAGGAGCAAATGAGATTTCCCCAGCGAAGAGGAAGGAAAATGGTGGCTTGGACGCTGGGTGAAGAACACCTTTCAAGGGAGTATATACTGGGGATAAGTCACATGGTAGTTCACTCAGTTAGCATATGGCAGTCATTGATGAGTAAAGTCCGAGTGGGGTGGATCCAAAAGAGCATGGAGGAGAGATTGGAGGCAGAACATATGAGCAAGTCGAGTTTTGCTGTAAAGGGAAAGAAAGTGAGGTCATATTTGGAAGGGAGAGTTGGGGCCAAGAGAGATTGTGTTACTTTTAAGTTGGGAGAATTAACAGCATGTCTGTATGCTGATGGGAGTGATTTAGTGAGAGGGGGACAGGAGGGGAGAATTGCTGGGGTAATAGTAGTAGTAATAGTACTGGCATTGAGTTTTTCACTTTTGGCTTAATAATAACTAAACATGGGCATTATTGTATTTTTCACTCAAAATATACCAGTAGACAAAGAGATCTTGCTTTTCTCCTTATTTGACTAACCTTTATTTTTAAGGTAACTGTGCTGGCAAACTTTCATAGACCAACAAAATTAGGTTATTTAAATTAGATTATGTGCTTGAGAACTTGGGCTTTATGGGCTAGACTGTGCTATTTTAGTGTCTAGAATGAGAACTTCTTTGTTGTATGGGACTGATAAGAGAATTATTGCCTAAATTAAATATTTTGGGGAGAAATACTCATTTCTAATTGGCACTATTGAATCTAAGGGTACTTGGGATCCTTTTATATTGCATCTTAATGTCTTTAGCTAAAAAGAGTCTGTGAGGACACACCCTCCCTCCATGCTGGCCATTGGGCATAGCCGTTTGCTTTTTACTACTGAAAAGTCTCACAGAAAAGTGAACCACTGGTACTTTGTCAAGGATACATCTTTTGAAGGCAGCAGTGCATGTTGATTAGTTCATTCGGAAGACCTTTGTGGGCCTACCCTGAGCCAGGTTCTGTGCTAAGACAGGGCTCCCTAGTAGACTGATTATGGACAGCTTAGGCCAGCGGTCGGCAAATTGCGGCTCGAGAGCCACATGCAGCACAAGGGCTGCTGTTTGCCACTCTGTTGACTAATGAGTTTGCCGGCCACTGGCTTAGGCTTTAAAACTTTCTACACCAATTCTTATCAGATGGCTCTGCTCTGAGGCTGGTGGAGCATGGGGGTGCATTTAGAGAGTTTTCATGAGAACTGTGAGGCTGCTCACATAAAGTCCGTTAATGAACTTTTCAACTATTTACTGTCTCTTATTGGGAAATACCTTCTTTCTATGACCAAGGAAAACAGGTCATGCACTCAGTAAGTAACTGAGATGATTGCTCTAGATCAGAGTCCAATTCCAGTGTCAAATACTTGTTGGTAGCTGCCTTCAGCTGTATTAAATCTCCACTACAAACTCCATTTTTAGAAAAGGGGTGCCATCTAATGGCTGACCCAGAGCAGCTTACATTCCCTATTTAAGTCACAGCTACATCTGCTGGCCTGAAAGGGAACATGAAAATGCTTAAAGTGAAGCCCTATAGCATCTTAGAAATCTTTTGGATTTAGTTTTTTGTTTATTCATCACTTCATATAGAATATGTATAATATACCAAATATTAATACAAATTTGTATTTTACACAGTGATCTATCATTTTATCAGAGGTTCCAAAAAGGAGAGCTAGTGGAAGCTACTTTGTCAGCAGACCGAAGCAGATAAGTGCACCCAGACTTAAGATGGGGTCCTCTCTCCACCCCACTGACCAGCCATGGGCCATGGTGCAGCCAGACTGCTCAGTATGGGTTCAGCAGTTACTTTGAATTATAATATTTTATTATCTGACTAGTGGGGTCCCTCGGGCTGGCCTGAGGGATCAGTCTGAAACCAGTTCTCCAACATCCCCTGAGGGGTCTCAGATTGCAAGAGGGCACAGGCCAGCAGAGGGACCCCACTGGTGCATGATCGGGGTGGGGGAGGAACATGGGAGGGCTCCAGGGTGTGTCTGGCCCCGTCTTGCTCAGTCCCAATCAGCTGAACCCCAACAGCAAGCTCACCTACCAGTCGGAGCCTCTGCCCTCTGGTGGTCAGTGCACATCATAGCGATTCTCCAACAGTTAAATTCAGGGCTGAGGTGACTGGTGGACTGTCTGCCCTCTGGTGGTCAGTGCATGTCATAGTGAGCAGTTGAGCAGCCTTAGCATATCATTAACATATTATACTTTGATTGGTTGAATGGATGACCAGATACTTAGCATATTAGCTTTTATTATATAGGATTATGATTGAGGCAGCAGTGATTTTATCATAGTAACTTAATTGTGAAAAGAATGGAACACTGATTATGGGTTCATAGTCCTAGGAGACTGATCAGAGTCCAATTCCACTGTGAGCCTCTGTGAGAGGTTGTTTTACCAGGACAGACATATTGAGCTTAGAGAATAGTTGAATCAGTGCTCTTTAGCTAGTCAATAGGACCCTTAGTGATACCAATTGGTAATCCCCCAGTTATCAAAAGAAAAAGCTATGCCACCTACGGTTAACTTGCTTGTTACTTAAGAACAAAGATTTGTTAGCTGTTTTACCTTTTATTATAGTAGATATTAATACTTGAAAGGATTAGTTGAGCTACTTATAGTTAGACTGTCTTATCTTTTTTTCTTCCTTAGAAGGAAGAAAAACAGGTATACAAACAACTCCCAATTGATACGATTGGAAGCTTTATGACTTCCGTGGACCCATGTTTTAAATTTGTTGAAGTGAGGTTATAGCGTCCAAGTCAGAATCACCCATTGCTAGCGTTTACTGTGGTTTCTGTATAACATATTTATGATAATCTGTGTAGTTAGAATTTATAAGTAATTTATAGTTTTTGCCCTAAAACAGTAATAAAACTATGAATGAAACTGTTCTTAGTTATTGGGAAATGCTTTAAATTGTCCAGAGATTTAAATTTGAAAATTAACTTATAAACAAAAAGGAGCTTTTTAGTTTGTTTACCCTTCTACCATGGGATAAGAAGTATTTGTCTTTATATATTTTTATATATATGTATGTATACATATATATGTATTTATTTTTAAAGAAAAATACATTTGGACCTACCTTAAAATAAAAATGGCTTAGGTATTTTTTGGTAAAAATACGTATTCAATATTTAAAAAAAAAAAGAAAAAGAATTAATGTAGAAAAGTACAGGAAAGGAAACGATAACCAGAAACTCACTGAGTTGCAATAATCTGTTATAGTAGAAACATCATTTCAGACCTTCTCTAGGCACATTCACATAATCGTAGCTAAGTGTTGCTTTACTGTAATGCTCTGGAACCTTTTTTCACTGAATAGTCATAGGAACTCTCTGCACAGTTGAGTATATAAATCTCCATCACTTTTAATGGCTACATGGTTCCATATTATGTATTAATTTACTTAATCAGTCTGTTGCCAACAGTAGTTAGATTGTAATTTTTCACTATTAAACACCATAGTGAACCTCTAAATTAAAATTTAAAGCATTTCCCTATCTCTTTTGTATTTTTCTTGGTCAAGAAATTTGTCTAAAGACAGAAGTTGCTATTGTTGAATCAAAGTGCATGTTAAGAATGTTTTTGATACAATTGAGAAGATATGAACAGTGCATACAAGTCTCCTGGCACCCTTGCCACTGGTGGCGTCTATGACTCTGAAATGTTTTCCAGTCTGATATCATCTTTCTTGCTTGACTGCATCCCTCCGAAGGCTCTGCCGCTGTAAAGGCTTCATGGACATGGTCTGTGACTGGGGCCCTTGCCCACTCGCCAGCCCAGACTTGCCCCTCATCTGCCAAGACAGGCTGCTTCTTTCTCAAAAGCCCAGGCCTCTTGTTCTTTAAAAAACAGAGAGTAAAACAATTTCTCTAAAAAATTATTTAACTTTCCCATTCTAAGAAAGATCCTTTAAGACAATTAACACAAGACCTTTCCTCTAGGACAGTAGTTGATGCTTGCCAATAACATTTATTT